GATGTCAGAGATATGAATGTGGTGGAGTGGGGGATGGGGTAGGGAAGAGAACACCTGGGGGGATAATTCAAAATTATTCAAATAACAGAAAATGCATAAGATCCTAGATTCAGTATCCAGAATGAAGAAGTGTCTCTAGTGATAAAGTGAGTTTTCAGTGCCACATAAGCATTGTTCCATAACAGTTGAAACAGGCAAAGATGAACAGAATGAAAGTTTGTGACAATGAGAGAAGTTGGGAGACTGAGGAGAGAGTATGTTGGGAGTGGTCACTGAATTACAAGTCCTGAACTCTCCCGTGACAGGGGCTGATGCCACTCTGGAATACTCCTGGGGTGAAGGTCTGAGATAGCTCATTTGCTGTGGTTTGGTGCTAATCTCAGAGCTATAAGTTCTTGACCTTGAGCATCAGAAGCCAGCTGCTCAGGGGTAGAAATTTTATGGGTGCAACCTGATAACATAAATAGGCTGCCCATACTCATGACCTTGGTTCTACTTGTTTTGAGAAACTTTCCCATAATAACCCCTTTAATGAAAAAAAATATAATAAATGTGCTGAGCTAGTTAATGGTCAGTCTTCTTCCATCAGAAGTTGGCTGATCCACTGAAACCAATTATATATTTTTATATTTTTGTCTTTTTATCTTTTCTCAATTCCCTCCAACTCAGTCTAGGTAGTCCTGAATAAACTGTTGCACAGGATGTGACAAGAGTTGGATTAACAGGGAAAGAGGAAACTGAGTAGGTGGTCAGGGTTTGGAGTGGAAGCAGATTTTCTTTGTTGTTGGTAGAAGTTTTTCTTTTGGTTGAACAAGGAAGTCATAAGAGAGGTCTGTGGGTGTAGGTTTGTTTAGAGCAGAAATCAAAGGCCAACTTCTCTGAGAGAAAAAAAAAATATCATTTTCAACTGCCATGCTGTTTCTGTTACTTCTGCTACTAGCTGCTCTAATCCCAGACAGCGACAGTGAAATTGGTAAGAACTGGGGAAACTTATTAGTGTGTGTGTGTGTGTGTGTGTGTGTGTGTGTGTGTGTTTTGATGGTAGATTCCCCTGCACATACCTGGAGAGAACGAGGGCCAAGCTTGCCCCATTCTGTGTGTCCTTACTCAAGCTTTTTGTGCTCTCATGGAGGATGTTGATAGAGCATGGGACCCTGGGGGACAGCAGATGTCAGCTAAGGTAACAGTGGCTCTCCATTTTTCCAAACTCTGAGTCTTCCTACTGTGTCACCTACTTTCCCATGTTTTTCCCTTCCAATGTTTCATTTATCCCATTTTATCTACTTTTTTTTGCCACAGGGTTTGAAGAGCCTGTCTCCTACCATGTTATCAGGACATCAACATTTCAAAACCATACCTGGGTACATCTGGCCTCAGGCTGGTTGGGGGAGCTGCAGACTCACAGATGGAACAGCAGCTCTGGTACCTTCATTTACCTGTATCCCTGGTCCAGGGGCAACTTCAGTAACAGGGAGTTGGTGGATCTGGAAAGGTTTTTCCAGGTACACATCATTGGAGTTCAGGAATTTTTCATGGATCACTTGATGTCTGAATGTGAGTTCAGTTTCCTTGTTGGGGAGAAGAAAGTGTGGAGGGGCAGGATGACTCAGTGACTCTTATTCCTCGTGAAAAGACTACTCTGTGTTCTGAATCTTACTCCATGTTCTTTGGCATAAAACTGCAACCACACACTGTGCACATGCTATAAATAGAATCCGTATTCTTCAAAAACTTCAGTTTTTGCCATTTATGAACTGCTCTCTCATTGATTGCAGGAGTATGTTTTACTATCTCTCCTTAGAAACATATTTTGGGCATGTTTTTTCCCCAGACATCAATAATACTCTCAGCTTCCTTACTCTTTGTGTGATTTTTCTCTCTCATTTCATTCTTCAGTCATTCCTGTCTGAACTGTCATAGTTACCATGGATACATTCACCCTGGTTAGTTAGAGTCTCAGCTCTCTCACTTTAAGTCCTTCACCCCCCACATCATCGCTATCACCTATGAACAATTCCCTCCCTTTCTCATATTATCATCTCTTCCTCCACCTCCAGCTCCTACCAGTTCTCCTTTCTGTGAACCTCAGAC